TGTCTCTCTCTCTCTCTCTCTCTCTCTCTCTCTCTCTCTCTCTCTCTCTCCTCCCCCACCCTAACTCTCAAGCTGACCTACCCCAAGGCCACCGACCTGTGACCCATGCACAAAAGCTGTGCCCGTTCGACTCTGCTATTGAACATTCACGATTATTCCACTATTCACAGTTATTCGAAGAGTCACAGTCCAATTCGAATGCCATACGATTTTTATTGACAATGGATCTACCTCTCAGTTTTCTCAACTGCCCGTAAAATGCTTTGTTTGTTTGTTTGTTTGTTTGTTTGTTTGTTTGTTTGTTTGTTTGTTTGTTTGTTTCTAGGCGTTGCCCGTCTACTGCAGGATGCAGCCCTACAACAACGCACTACACTCTATTTTATCAAGGTTGGTCCCGTCTGCTCTCTGATGTCATCTTGCCGCCTTCTTTCTCGTCTTCCCCTTCATCTTTTTCCTGTTCTTGGCCAGCCCATTTTCATTTTTTGTGGGAATATAAATTTGGGGATATCAGCCCTTCTGTGACTGTCACTTTTGATGGATCCTCACGTACCCCTGTTTCAGTGAGTATATGTCCAAGAAACTTCAGTTCTGTCCTGAAGAACTCGCATTTTGTTTGGTTGATCTTCAGTCCGTTTTCCCTTGCTCTCTGCAAGACTTGACGCAATCGTTTACAATGTTCTTCTACCGACAAGTTCCAGATTCAAAGATCATCCTCATAGCTCACAACACCTTCAACATCTAAAAATATCTGTACACTATTTTCTGGAAGACTGCAGGAGCTGACCTGATTCCGAATGGCAACCTGAGAAACTTGAACCTGCCAAATGTGTCGCAAATGTACAGAGCTCTGAGCTTTTGTGAATTAGTGGTACTTGCCAGAAACCACTTGAGGCATCGAGCTTGGTGAAGTACTTGGCACCTTTCTGGTCTATTTTGACTTTTTCTTGTGTAGGTAACTGGTAGTGTTCCTTTTTTATGGTCTCGTTGAGCCTTTTGAGAATAACTTAGACCCAGATGTCTCCATTTAGTTTCTGTACCATAATTATGGTGTTCACCCAGTCTGTTGGTTCTTCTACCATTTTGATGACTCCAAGTCTCTGCATCCTTGTAAGTTCAGCTTTCAACTTTGGCTTCATCGCGAGGAGAATTTGTCTAGCAGCAGCAACAACAGGAGAGACGTTGTGGTCCACTTTGATGTGAGGTGTATCCTTGATGCAGCCCATCTCTCCACAGGAGGACTTTGATGTCCTGTCTGTGACTCTTTATCATGTATCCTCTGATCGAGGTTAATTTCAGAACATGTTTTCAATCCAAAAATTGACTGAGCTTCGGGTGATGACGTCACCATGACGTCCACGTTACATTTCTTTCCCTTATGGAATCAGGTGAGGTAAACTTGGTCACTCTCTAGGATTTTTTTCCCCGAGTAGGATGTCAGTCTTACTTTTGATTTGACTACCGGTGGATCAAATTGTTTTGCCTGCTGCTCTGAGATGACATTCACCTGAGCTACTGTTTCCATCTTGAGGCTAAAACAGCACCTGGACATGGATGGCTGGTGCCTCTATAAATAAATCATTGATGGTCTGTTTCCATCTTGACCTGTATCTGCTGGCCTCTACAGTTGAGTTCAGCGAACCAGTTTTCTTCCTTTTGTTTAGAGTTATTTACTGCACCCACTTAGAGCTGTTCATCACTTCGGCTCTCGTGGCGCCTTTGTTCTCTTGTTTCTACAACTTGCTAAACTTTTTGTTCCACTCTGCTCCCTCTGGCGAAGTGATTCTGTTTCTTGCACACGTTCAAAGGTTTTCCGAACGCCGGACATGCTCTACTTCCATGAGAGCTTCCGTGTCTGTTGCAGTGGAAGGTTGATGTCTCCATCTTCTTCCTCAGTTTTCCTGGTGATTTGACGAACTTCGTTGGCTTCACCACATCCACTGCTTCTGCCTCCTCAGCCATTATGGCGAGCCCTTTTCTGGATTCTTCATCCGCTCTGCAAAAAGACTTGCAGACTCTCGGGTGAGGTCTGGCTCTCTTAGCAGTCGTTCTTGTACTACCATTTTCTTTATTCCCACGACAATACGGTCTCTGATCATGTTGTCCTCCAAAGTTCCATACTGGCAAAGCTTTGCTAAGCGCTTCAGGCCTGTGACAAACTCGTCCAAGGACTCATTTGACTGTTGTACCCGACTGTTGAATTTATACCGCTCTAGGGTTACGTTTCTTTGATGGTCTTTTTTTGGTAAATGTTTTACGGCGCTTGCAATGCATAAGGAGCGCCCGGGACACATTTTGCATTTTTAGATGGTTGGAAATTTTGCCCGGGTGGCGTCCGAAGCCTACTCTTATTTTTTTGGGACCACCAAGGGATCTTCAACGTGCGCACTTGCACTTGAGACATCCAAGATTTTTCGTCTTTTTCCGAGAAGGCTAGGTGTAGATCTTTCTACCTTGAGATCAGATCAAGGATGTGGCTGAAAGACAGCAGTAAGACGGAGCCAAGTAGTAAGAAAGAGTCAGGAGCCCAGAGGAGGGAGCGAAGGAGGTGAGGGGGGGGGGGGGGAAAGTGGAGCCGAAAGCAAACGACAGAACATTGTTAGAGAGCAGCAGGTATGGATGTGAAAGGAGAACATTTTCAGAGAAGGACATTTTTCGTCCCTATCCGGATTCGAACCCACGACCTATTGAAGGAAAGGTGAACACCTTAACCTCTAGACCACGAGAGCTCCCACGCTTTGTGTCTAGTTTGCAGTACTGGTCAAATCTTCTGAACAAGACCCCGAGCTTATTTTTTTATTCTTCCGGAATTGTCCAAGCAGTAAACACCAAACGCACTCGGTACTCGAATAGCACGAACTGTGAGTTCACGCTTCGAGACATCACTGACATTCGGTTTTTAAAATCATTGAGGCAAATACAGATGTCCCAACTCACACAGATCAGTACATCAGTAAAAGCCAAACGCACACGGTACTCGAATAGCACGAATAGTAACTTCGTTCTTGGAGGCGCCGGTGACGATAATTTGTTTCCTCAAAATTGCACAAGCACCAGGGCCTAGCCTAAGGTGGGTACACCCGTCAGGATTACACCCTCCAAACGAGCGAATCGCCCTCAATAAAGGACACACTCGGGTACAGCTGAAGCCTCGTGCTTGACATTGGGGTCAAATTGTGCCTTGTTCCCAGAGCACATTGCCAATTCAGTACATTTGATTCTTGCTTTGGTTCTGTATTCGTTTTTAGGGACTTGGTTTACAAATAGGTCATAGGGGAGCCAAGGATTAGACGTGTTATGTAGGGCAGAGAGTGGCATGCGCACAAAAAGAGGAAGGAGGAGAGAATAAGGAAGACAGATGTTCGATAACGAAAAAGGAGCAAACATACCAAGGCATCCGCTAACCATCCACATAGATAGATAGATAGATAGATAGATAGATAGACATTCAGACAGATAGATAGATAGATAGATAGATAGATAGATAGATAGATAGATAGATAGATATATAGATAGATAGATAGA